GGCACAGCTGTTTATTAAAAGTTATGAGATGAGGAATGTGACCGAGATAATGATTAATTACTACACCCATCCAATTTATATTGCACTCCAGTAATACATATCTGCTGTGAATGATGGTCAAATCTAAAAAGGTAGGTCACAGGAATAAAAAAAAAAGTGTCATTTCATTCTGTTTTTAAGCTCAACTGTGCTATTTCTCTTCATGAAGAGTTGCTAAAAGCATCTTGCTGTCATTGACACTTTGGCGTTAATTATTTACACAAAATGTAAAATAACAACACAGACAACTGTATCACTATTTTGTATTGGTTGCTATCAGAGACAAAAATGTGGATATTCAAACAACAACTCACTGTAATCAGTGTAATTACCAACAAAGTGCTGCAGTTTAAAACATGAAAGTATCACACTCTACAATGTGTCTATAAAATTATTAACATTTAGAGTTAGTGTTCTGATATAGCTTTGCAAACACCCCAGGGATGAATTAAGATCACCAACTGAGCTATTTTCCATACAACTAGAGCTAAACAAGCGCTATAATTAAAACTAAAATTTCTGCCTCGCAGTTGTATGCCTCTGATAACTAGTAAAGTTTAATCAACAATATACAATCAGCACACAAGATTAGTGTTTTTGCGGATCATTATGATGTCACAGTGTCACTTTGACTTTTTGGGTATAAAATGTCATCACTTCATTATTCCTATTAGACATTTGTATGAAATTTTGTCATAATTAGCTTAAGACTTTTTTAAGTTATGGCAAAAAAAAACCAAACATGTTTTTTGAGATCACAGTGACCTTGACCTTTGACCTTCAACCACCAAATTCTAATCAGGTTGTTCTTGAGTCTAAGTGAACATTTGGGCCAAGTTTGAGGGAATCCCCTCTAGGTCCCTTTGGGATATTGTGTTTACAGGGTAAGATAGATGCAAGGTCACAGTGACCTTGACCTTTAACCACCAAAATCTAATGTCTAATCAGTTCATCCTTGACTCAAAGTGGACATTTGTGCCAAATTTGATATATCACCTCAATGATAATGAGACAGACGAGGTCAAAGTGACCCTGACCTTTGACCACCAAATCTAATCAATTCATCATCAGACCAAGTGGGCGTTTATGCCAAATCTGAAGAAATTCCCTGGGTATGGGAAGAATGGATGGATGGATGGATGGATGGATGGATGGATGGATGGATGGATGGACAACCTGAAAACGTAACAGACCATGGCGAACGCCGGCTCGGAGGCATTGAATGATAGCCATGAAGTTACATAATTGCAAGTAGGTTGCAAATTAGGTAATGATGGCATGTTTGTTTAATTCATGTTCAAAAAAACAGTCACATCATAGTCAAGGTGCTGGATATTTCAGGTGTATACTTACTGCTAAATGCCTGACATACTTTTTTGGCAACATGACATGCTGGCAAAAAAAAAAAAAAAAAAATTCCTTAAATTAGCTATTTTTGGGCAAAACCAGCCATTTTATTTGGAAAGAGGATGTATTTTTAAAATTGAGAACAGAATGTTAGGCCATATAGTATGTAAAGTTATGTATATGATCCAGTCCAAACAATACAGATTTAACAGCCCCACTGTAGGTGTTAGCCCTGAGACCTAGTGACTAAGTGTGAGCAATGGCTGTGTTGGCCTTTGGGACTCTCTAGTCTCTACAACCTCTATATCACATGGCTATAAATACTATATTCATTTCTTTCTTTAACCTTGATGAAGACAAAGGGTAGCACATTCTTTATTAAGCTAACGCTAACTTTAGCAAAGACTTGGCTCACTTCACCACTGGGGAAAAGGTAGCCCACACAATACAGATTTAATAAGACTACTGTAGACGCTAGCTTCAGGGTAACTGTTAAAAATGTAAGCATGACCTCTGGGACTTTTCAGCCTGTATCACAGGGCTATGAATACTAAATTCATTTTGGGTTTTATCCTAGATAAAAGAAAAGGTAGCACAGTCTTGAGTAAGCTCACACTTACTTTAGCCAAGCTCTCATCTCCTCTGGAGAAAAGTTAGCCCAAACAATACAGATTTAATAGCACTACTGTAGACATTGTGAGCACAGGCTATGTTGGCCTTTGGGACTCTCTTCAACCTCTATATAGCAAGGCTATAAATACTCCATTCATCTGGGTCTTTATCCTTGATAAAAAAACAAAATGTAGCACATTCTTTATTAAGCTAACGCTAACTTTACCCAAGAGCTGTTTTGCCTCTCCTCTGGAGGAGAGTTAGCCCAAACAATGCAGATTTAACAGCACTAGACATTAGCCCTCAGGCTCAGACGTACTGTTTAAGTGTGAGCATGAGGCAGCACTGACCTTTGGGACATTTTCAGTATGTATATTGCAGGGCTATGAATACTGTAGCCTATACAGTGTGAAAGAAAATGTAATACATGTGGAACATTAGACCAAAACATTTCCAGTTTTAAAGCAGAGTTAGAGCTGTAATTATCTGCCATTAGGGAACCAAGAAAATTGGCTTTGCTGCTACATAATACACCACTTAATGTATTGTGCTCCACCACAGCCTTCATCATGTGAAATAGAAAAGCACATCTGAAATACCAGCAGTAAAGGTGACATCCATGCACAGTCGCTAACCAGCAGTTAGACTCTGTAAAGTGCACGTGAGTGTTTCCTCAAGCACTTTACAGTCAAAGTGAGCCATCCTGCTGAGAGCACCTGCCATCTTGAGTGAAAGATATTCATTGATACTGGCTTCACTGCACAGCTTGAAACACATGGTCTACATGCTGTTGAAAAAGAAGCATGTTGGTACAGGTTTCAAAGGAAACACAGCTCTAAACACTGTCATGCTGAATTACTTTACAAAAGTGTCAGCTTCAGATCTAAATTCAGTTACATAAAATGTCATTAGTATTGGTTTCAGTGGCAAGCTTTGGAGTCACATGGTCTAAATGCTGATTCAGGGGCATTTCCATCCCACCAATTAAAGGTTTTGCAGGGGGGAAACACTGATACACAATTCTGCACCAAATAGAGCCTGGAGGACAGCCAGTTAAATCATCCTCAGGGCTGATTTATGGTCCACATTTCTTCTCTAACGAGACCAGACAGTAATAGCACAGACCCAAAGCTGTTTACAATGTAAGCTGAACATATCACATTCATATTTGTGTTATTTGTGTATGTGAATGTACTCACATTCATGTGCATGTGTTTGCAAATTGGGTTCTTATTGCTTTACACTGATGCCAACCCCATCATCCATTCACAGTACATAGTGTACAATACACACATGTATAGCTGTTATATTTCAGATTCAGTTTACGTGACCTATAATTGTACTCTAGTTGTTGGCACATAATTAGAACTCCCAGAGGGCACACATAAACAAAACATAGATGTTGTGTACCCTGAGGAAAGAAGTAAATTAAATCAAAAGGCCAGAACAGTTTGCTGATATTGAAGGCACAATCTATGATGACGCTGTAATGTGGTGTTGTTATTGACTTGTTCACATTAGTTATATCTGTAAACAAAGAATATAACAGGCCATATAATATTTTACCTCCAGTTGAACAAAGCACACAATGCTTATTTTCTATTATAAGCCAAATATGTACATGAATAGAACTTCAGTTTATGTGGTAAAAAATGGAGATCAGTTATTTCATCATTATGCTGTTCAGTCAGTTACTTGTTACACTGTTATTCATCCACACTAACTAAAGCAGTAGCCAGTCAAAACATGTTTAATTTCAGGCAGATCTACTGGCATAATTTAATGAATCAATTCAACAGGATAAAAAGATTTTAGGGAAAGAAAACATTTAGTTCCAAAGCAGTTTTGGCAGCGGGTTAAAAATCGATTCACCAAATGAATGACTTAATGAGTCTGTCTCTATGTGTCAGCTCTGTAATACTCTGGTGACTTTTCCAGGGTGTACCCAGCCTTTCACCCCAATTCAGCTGAACTAAAGTCAGATTTCCATGTCTTTTTTATTATATAGCAGGTATAGGTGCTACATAAATGCTGTGAAAGTATCAAAACGCTAAATCATCAGAGAAATACAAGCGTATTAACAAATTGTGCCTTTAAAAGAGCTGTCAGGACTTCGACAAAGTTGTGATGTCACAATTATACAATATTAAGGTAGAAACTACTGCTACAGTGCTGTTACAGTTATTCCCCGGCTGCAATGATGGTGCAAAGATGTCATCATTCTGACTTATTTTAAGTGATATGTTGACACTGCTTGTGTGTGTGTATGTGTGGGTCCTTGTGTGTGTGCAGTGTGTGTGTTTAGAGTATGAATGAATGATATCTTATCCCCTGCTTTATTTATTTATTTATTTATTCCTTTTATAATGAGTTTATATTCTTTTGTTTTTTAATTTATTCTGTTTTATTCTGTGCATTGGATTTTGTTGTGTTTATTTACATTGACAGTTGACGGAATTGAATTAAATTGAACTGTATTGAACTGAATTAAATTAAATTGAACTGAATTGAGTTGAGTTGAATGAGTTGAGTTGAACTGAACTGAATTGAATTCACTTAAATTGAGCTGAATTGAATGAGTTGAATAGAATTAAATTGAACTGAATTTAATTAAATTGAACGGAATTGAAATGAGTTGAGTTGAATTGACTTCAATTGAGTTGAGTTGAGTGGAGCTGAATTGAATTGAATTGAACGGAGTTGAATTGAACTGAATTGGATTGAACTGTACTTAACTGAACAGCACAGATGTGGAAGACTCGGAAACAGTGACCAATCAGAGCAACTTTGCTGTTTCGGGAGGGGGCCTTAAAGAGACCTGCGCTAAAACGGAGCGTCTCAGACAGAAGTTTAATACAAGAATATTGAAGCCGGTAGTTTAAGAAAAAAAATGGGTTTTTTTGGACATTCAAGTATGTAAACATATTCAAGTAGAAACACAAAACAAAAGTATGAACCTGAAAAATGAGCATAATACGGGACCTTTAATGAGTTGCTGACAGTCACTGGAGACTCTCCTCGGTGTTCTCGCCTTGGTTGCTGCAGTGACGCCAAATATTTGCCAAGACTCGCTCCCCGCGTGTCACAACACTGAAATCCATGGTCTTCAACTGAGGCAGGGCAGAAATCACATGATTCCTGAACACACACAAACACATACACACCCACTAAATCAAATCCAAGCGCTCAATGGACATTCTGTGTGCCTACATATAATCAACTGAAATTTTATAGTTGAATAAGCAAGTTATCTTTCAGTCTTTGCAAAGCAGACCTTGCCTGTCCTTTCCTGTCATTTCACAGATGATCTTATGAAATGAAATAAATATTAAATCAAGAAGCTGAATACATGAGAAATTTAACTGATGAAGGGAGACCTTCTTTCTTTGTGTGTGTGTGCGTGTGTGTGCCTCTCTGATATTATGTAGACGGTAACAGGATATAAACTCAGATATGTGTTTGGTCTCCACTAAAAGGAAAACTTTATCCACAAAATAACCATCTGTATATAAATCAGTCATGCTGTGTTACCTTGAATTTGTGAAGAAAACTTTTTTTTCTTATGTGTCTCTGTAATAAAACATATTATTGGAGTCTGGCCTTGAAGAGAGCACAGATAAGTTTCAGTTTAAATACTAAAGATTTAGCTCAAATTCATGTGTTTGGTATGTACTGAGTGTACGACTAAGACTTGGATTATACTGCAAAAGTTGTGTGAGAGTTTGTGAACAAATGTTTTATACACTCCACGCCACTTTATTAGATACACCTGTTCAACTGTTCGTACTGCAAATAGCTAATCAGCCAATCACGTGGCAGCAACTCAATGTATTTAGGCATGTCGACATGGTCAAGACGACCTGCTGAAGTTCAAACTGAACATCAGAATGGAGAAGAACGGTGATTTAAGTGACTTTGAACGTGGCATGGTTGTTGGTGCCAGACGGACTGGTCTGAGTATTTCAGAAACTGCTGATCTACTGGGATTTTCACACGCAACCATCTCTAGGGTTTACAGAGGATGGTCCGAAAAAGAGAAAATATCCAGTGAGCAGCAGTTCTCTGGGTGAAAATGCCTTGTTGATGCCAGAGGTCAGAGGAGAATGGCCAGACTGGTTCAAGATGATAGAAAGGCAACAGTAACTCAAATAATCATTTGTTACAACCAAGGTCTGCAGAAGACCATCTCTGAACCAACATCACGTCCAACCTTGAAGCAGATGGGCTACAGCAGCAGAAGACCACACCAGGTGCCACTCCTGTCAGCTAACAACAGGAAACTGAGGCTACAGTTCACACAGGCTCACCAAAACTGGACAATAGCAGATTGGAAAAATGTTGCCTGCTCTGATGAGTCTGGATTTCTGCTGCGACATTCAGATGGTAGGGTCAGAATTTGGTGTAAACAACATGAAAGCATGGATCCATCCTGCCTTGTATCAACGGTTCAGGCTGATGGTGGTGTAATGGTGTGGCGGATATTTTCTTGGCACACTTTGGGCCCCTTAGTACCAACTGAGCGTGGTTTAAACACCACAGCCTACCTGAGTATTGTTGCTGACCGTGTCCATCCCTTTATGACCACAGTGTTCCCATCTTCTGATGGCTACTTCCAGCAGGATAATGCACCATGTCACAAAGCTCAAATCATCTCAAACTGGTTTCTTGAACATGACAATGAGTTCACTGTACTCCAATGGCCTCCACAGTCACCAGATCTCATTCCAATAGAGCACCTTTGGGATGTGGTGGAACAGGAGATTCACATCATGGATGTGCCACAGACAAATCTGCAGCAACTGTGTGATGCTATCATGTCAATATGGACCAAAATCTCTGAGGAATGTTTCCAGCACCTTGTTGAATCTATACCACTAAGAATTAAGGCAGTTCTGAAGGCAGAAGGGGTCCAACCTGGTACTAGCATAGTGTCCCTAATAAAGTGGCTGGTGAGTGTATATCGCTTTATTAAATGTGGTCCCCAGACAATCATTAAATCCATCTGTTCACTGCTTTCCATGGAGACATGCAAGAAAAACTGTTTTTTTTTTTGTGTATTCAAGGTAACACGGTATCACTCATTGATTACAAATGGTCATTCTGTGGGTGAACTATTCCTTTAAGCACCTATGAAAATGTCACCCAATTGTTTCCCAAGTATCTGTGTTTCCAATTAATTACATTTATTCAAGTGCTTTACTTAAGTACAGTTTGGAGATACTTAGTATTTCCATTTTATGCTACTTTCTAATGTGCAATTTAGAAGGAAATATTGTACTTTTAACTCCACTACATTTATTTAACAGCTCGGGGTCATTTCAGGTTAATATTTTACAATAAAAGACATATGACGAGGTTATAAAATACAATTTGCATTCATTGTTTAAGATTACACCACTTGCTCTCAAACTTTATGGATTGTGAACCCTCGCAAAGCGGCGGTGTCTAGTAAAGGCTCCTTGTCACGTTTCTGATGTCTATGAATTTTTAGCAGTTCTACAAAAGAGACATTTGCCCTCTAAACCTCTCAGATGTTTAATTTAAATAACAGCTTGAGGCACAAAGAAGTAAAACATTACAATGTTTCACTGTGAGGAACAGATTAGAGAAAAGTGTAAAAAAAAATAAGGAATAGAAATTTCAGTAGTAGTAGAACTTATATTTTTCTTCTTTCCTCCCCCACTAATCATCTCAAAACCCCCCTACATTGTTCGGGAACCATTGGATAAGCTCAGTGTGAAGGGGTTAACTAGTTCTGTTCAATCAGACTTAGCTGTTTTTACCAAGGAACAATAGCAGCAAATGAAAGCACGTTACAGCCAAACTTCTAGCAGTTGAACAGGATGTGCGTGTGTGTGAGTGAGCTGGGGAGAAAATCTGTGTAAACTGTATGAAAATGAAGTCTCCACCTGTACTTTCTGTTGGTTTCTATGACATTTCCATGAAGCGTGATTGTGTGCAGATACTGCAGCTCCCTCAGCCTGTCGACCTCTGACAGGTTCCAGATGCCGTTGCCATGAAGATACAACACACGCAGTTCGCGCAGCTCGCACAAAACCTGGGGCACAAAAAAAAAAAAACACAATCCAACAACATGTATAAATTATACTAATAAGTATGAGATGATGCCTAATTTAAGCTATTCCGGCTTTACACTGGTTGGAGATTACAGATAATTTGCAAAGAAATCAGAAATTGAAGCACCCTTGGAAAAGAGAGTATGAAAATAGATAAACAAATATTGTACAAAGAAGAAATGAAAGAAACAAAGAAAACTGAGAAACACAGGAAGCAAACATGCAAACATTTGCAGAATGGGAAAGAGAGAAGCTTCACCGGATCTATGTGAGTGATTCTGTTAAAGGACAGGTCCAGCCAGCCGATCTGAGATGGTCGAGCCAGGAAGTGGTCGAGAACATTCTGGAGGTCAGTGAGGTCAGTGATGTTGTTGTAACTGATTCGCAAACTTCGGCTCAGGTACTTCCCCTCTGAGTTTGTGTTCAAAGGCCGCAGGCCACTTCGAGGTTCCTCCACCAACGCACCTGAACCACAAATAAAGCTGTTACACTGGAAATCAAGTAGTGGCATGAAAATTTGAATTTATATTCCTACTGCTAGATCGGTTTATTCAAGGTGATGCACTGCAGTCAGTACGGGTTCATTACACTTCTGTGGTTACATAATCTGTCAAATGAACACTGTAGTCTATTTTGTCGTCCTATTCATTACAACAGTCTGTCTAGTTTGTGACAGCACGTGGACAACACAGCACATGAGCTATGACACTTAGATCACAATACTTGACACGTGATATCTTGCAACTGACACGTTTCAAGTAGGAACACTCTGATAGAAGATTTAATTAACTCAAAACTTAAGTGGCTAAAAATAACACCTTTCCGAGGTATGTTAATCCTATGATAAATGTTAGCACACCTAACAGTTTATACACAAGTGCTCAGTTCCCAGGGCAACTGTAAAAATATATATGCAGAAAAAAAAGTAATATATATAATAAGATACATACTGTAAAGTTAAGAAGCTGAGACAAAGGAATATGATACTACCTGCAATACTATTGATATCTTTAAATGACAGATCCACTGGAGGGCCGTACATGTTCAAGTCTGGAGGTCGTCACGTGTCCAGCAACAGCAAAATGTTCAGGTGAGAGCACTGACACTGACAACTGAGCTTCCATAGACCTCTGTACAGTTCCAAATGTAAACATGGATTCAGCTACCAACTGTTTCCTCAAGCTACTTTGGATTTTTTAATTTTTTTTTACTAAACAAAAATAAAGGAACAACTGAAATGTAGCTCCTGGCTTCTCTCAGTCACATTCGTCATTATTTTAATGAATTTTATTGTATGATTTGTTTAAAAGCTTTTGTTTATTTAAACAAAACTGTTTCACTGGACTTGCATTACTAGGCAACAGCTTGGGTCCATGTTTACTTCCTGTCAGCTGATGTCACTTAGAGGTGGGGGAAAAAATCTATGCATCATAGTATCACGATATTTTGCGTGGCAATATTGTATCGATACCGGACGCCAGGTATCAGTCTTTTATCATATACATTAACAATTTTTGTAAATACACATTTTGATAAAATCAATTGCTTTTTCGGTCCACTAGATGGTGCTTTTTTTTTTTCCTGGTGAGGTCAGCAGAGGTCTCAGTCAGCGGAATTTGGCAGGAAGTTCATCAAATCAAAGATGGAGGCACTGGAGAAAGAAATCAGAAATGCACTGTCTGTGTTTTAATCAAACTTCTTATTGGAATGGATTTATTTTTGGATTTTTTAACAAGAAAAGGAGGACTTGGATATCACATGTGATTTGCTCTGGGAATACTACGAACATGAGGGTTCACCTCACACTCCACCATCCAGAGATGGGGTCAGCTGCTGACGGCCAAGCTAATGCTAAACCCACTTCACTGAAAAATCAACCAACACTGGACACACTCAGCCTGACAAAACTACCATCCAACTCTGAGAAAGATAAGAAAATAACACAGTCCATCACCTACTTCATGTGCAAAGATCTGCGTCCGCAGAGTGTTGTTGAAAACGAAGGCTTTTGTTACATGCTAAAAACAACCGACATTTTTTCACCGACACAGCCGTACCCAAGCTCTGCAGAGAAGTGAAGCATAAAGCTGAGGAATCTTTGAGGACAGCAGGGAGGGTGGCATTAACGCCTGGACTTCAAGGTCAGTGATTCATATGTGACTATAACGGCACATTATCTCACAGAAGACTGGCAACTGCTGTCTCACTTTCTCCAAACTAGAGCAGTATATAAAAGTCACACCAGAGCAAACACTGCAGAGCACCTGCAAAATGCAGCGCAAGAATGGGGGACTGTAATAGTCAACACCTCTAACATGGGTGTGTTACAGAGCAAACAAATTTTAATTCCAGCCTCAATCGCCTAACTGGTCGTCATCACCCAGTTGGTCCCCAGTGATGTTAGGTGTTGATATGTGGTTGAATTTACATCAGGTGACCAAAATTCAGTGTCAGGATGTCTTATGCCAATGTCAGATTGACGCAGAATGGCGTTGATATTTTGTTGGTTTTAGCTTTTACTTAACGTGCTGTTAAGTAACCAAAATCTGATGTCTTCCAAACATCTCATGCCAACGTCATCTTCATGTAGAATAATAACATTTAGTTTTAAGGTATGAAAAACAAAACCCAACATCTGCAAAGTATCATAATGTTAACATCTACACAATGTGAAATTCTTACGTCATTAGGCATTTAAAATTTTGTCAACCTGATTTTTATTCCAACCAAACTTTACCATCTGTCCAACATAACAGTCCAATGTCTTTCTGACATCATTTTGACATCCGGTGCCAGCTGCACAGACACCTGCTGGCACAGCTGCTGCTCATTCACTCATTACTAATTCAGAATCAAGACCAACCTGAGAATTAATGAATCATTAATGAATAGTTTGTGAAAAAGTCTAAATGGATAATGATGAGTTACTTGAGAACAGACTATGAGTTACATTAATTCACCATTAGTTAACTATCCGTTTATGAGTATCTGTGAATCGGAACAACGACCACTCCTGATACATCACACTGAGTAGTTACTAAGTAGTCTCATTACTTCATAATGATGTGACCATGAGCTATAAATTATTAAGTACTGAGGGACTGCTTAGTAACTGCTCAGTATGATGTATCACTTTACTGTAGGGTGTACAGAAAGAGCTGGGCCCAGTTCTGATACCCACCCCACCACTCACCCCCACACTTAAAGCATAAAGAAGTCACCTCTTTTATCACTTTCAGTGTTTCAAAGTGCAGGAGAGAGTGGCAACTAGAGAGTGGTATTTCTATAGCCAGTAACATGTGAGGCTGATATTACAAAGTGTAATTAGTGATAATTAATGAGCTTTAAAGGTGTTACAGGTAAATGTTTGACAGAGGCAGGCAAGCTATTTGTTCCTAGTGTTTATGCTAAGCTAAGTTAGCCATCCACTGGCTGTAGCTTCATATTGACCTTGCAGACATGAAAGGGGAATCAATCTTCTCGATCTAGCATTTGGCAATAGCCTGAAAATCCAGACTCTAGAACGATTTAGAGTCTGGCCCTCACCGATACGCCCTTCCTACCCAACGGGCGGCACTAACTGAGGCATTTCAAATGCTGCCACCTGCAATTGGATAGCACAATAGCCAATCAGAGCAAAAAACATGGTGACGTATTCACTGCACTAAGCCCCATTTTTTTGCCGAACAGTGGGGCTAACTGATATATTATGCTTTTGCCGTATCCTGTCGGCAAAACAGCAAAAACGTCCTTCCTGGAAACAAAGGCTTCTAGGGCAGTCTTCTATTCCTCTCTCAAGGAAAAAGATAAGTGTAGTTGGCTTAGCGTTTCTTCCAAAGCTAAAGTGAATGGACGCGGTCCTTTGACAGCTGCCATCTTGGCTGTTTACTTTTCGACTCCTATGGCGCAGCGCTGTCGTCATCATGTTACGCCCACCCAGAGCCCGCCTCTGTCAGATAGACTGATCTGATTGGTCCGATTGGTGATTCAGCAAGCTCTGCTCGTTGGGGCCAGATTCCCGTGCAGTGCAAATTTGAATTTGCTTGGGGCGGGGCATCTGGATTTCCAGGTTAATTTGGAAAGAGAGTAAGTAACTTTCCAACATGTAAAACTATTTGTTTAAATTCTAGAACTCTATAAGGTTTATGCAAAAAAAGTAGAGAACAATCTAAGGTTTTCCCCAACATATTTCCTACCTAAAATCTTTATTTATCCTGTTTTACATATAACTGCTTGGTGCAATGCACCATAATATATTTTCGCTTGCTCATTCATCTGCTTCAAACTTAATTTAGCCAAAGTAAGATAATTATAAAAGTGCTCCAGTACTTTACCTGCTGAATTAGTTGTCACTTTAAAATTCCCCAAAGTCAGAAAGTAATTGTTTAAAAAAGGGACCAATATTTGGTAACTTTATCATTAAATCCAGAGTCAGGTCTGTCAGGAAAACTTTTCAGTAAGAATAAATACATGCTGTGAATGATTCAGAGGCAGAGCTGAGAAGTTGTGTGTTTGAATCCAGTCACACATATTTGGGCAAGAAAATAGACCTCCAAAGAACTGTAACCCCAACGGTGGCTCATTGGGTAGCTCTGTTGCCTCAAGCAAAAACACTCCTAAGTTCAAACCCACTGACAACCTCAGGCCTTTCTGCATGTTCTCCTGTGGGATTCTGCTGAGTGCTTCACTTTCCTTAAACACACAGACGTATAGTGAACTGTGGAGTCTTTATTATCCATAGGCTTGGATGTAAATATGTTATGTGGTAGTTACAGTGCACTTAACCGTCTGCACCTTCACCATTTTTATGTGCTGGTTATGCTCCAGCACCCTGAACTGGACAAGCAGTCTGAAGATAAATAAAAGAGCACAGAAAACACAGCCCAATGTGAGTCTGAGAGGGCAAATGGAGGACGAGTTTAAAAACTGGAGCTGAAAGAGGGAAGAGGTGATGATGGAAAATTACATCCATCAGATTGAGTTTTTCCTCACCTTGTCGCTCAATCAAGATGCCGCTGTGTGTGTGTGCGTGTGTTTGTGTGGCTTCACTAATGGCACAATAGCATCTCATTGAAGGACATCTCTTCAATGAGATGTAGAGAAAAAACAGGCTTACGCATGGTGAGTCAAAGTCAAGGACGCAGACAGAGACAGACAGAGACGCTGGCTACAATCAGGGTGTTTGTGACCAGGTTTCCAGGGTGTCAGACTGTTTTCAGTGTAAGTGTGAGAATAATAAAGTGTAGTTATGAACTTCCTGTCAAAGCTTCCTTACAGCTGATTTTTGATTGTTTTAAAAGTTCCGCTGTTGATGAATCTAGATGTATAAATTGAGTTTTAACATGGGGTAACTCAGGAGAGGATGCTGTCACTGGTGTGCCAGTGTGCATCTTCATCTTGGCTGAATCTCTTCATAGATGAGGAAACAGGGTCATTTCAGTTGAATAAAATATCAAACAGGAGTCCCAGTATCCCTCGAAATGCAGCCTTCTGTCCAGACCAGATGGAAAGATCTGGACTCAGCTGAATGGGTGGCACTCTTTCCCTCCCTCTGCCATCGACTTGCCCTTGAGTGATGCGCTTAACCCCCATTTACTAGAGTGAGTCTGTTCTGCAACAAGCACTAAGAAACTAAAGCAGCTCACAGGTATAAATGTGTAGTTTTTAAATTGCAACACAGGGGATGAAAAACTTTAATGGGATCACATAGTGTTTCAAGTGGTGAATATGCATAATGATACAGTGACACCAGAGGATGTACTGTAGGCTACAACATTATCAGCATATAAAATTAGAAAAAAAACTGAACACCCGCGGGCACAATCTGCAGGGAGGGGGAGCACCCAGGTTGGAGCAGCACGCACAGCTGTTCACTGATTCTGGCTGACATGTACACCAACGTGAAGCATCCAGCGTGCTTTGGAGTTGGTTTAACACTAAATACTGAGGGTAGAAAGTCAGCTTTCTTTTAGTTTTTGGAGGCATTTAATCTTTTTTCATGTATCAAGGAGAGGGTGACCAGTTGACTGATTTATAGCTCTG